ATAACTAGTATGCCTTCTCACCTCTTTAATAACATATGACATATGACGTTAAACTAACTAAGAAACGCCATTAATATTTATGGCATGATAGTTAGTTACTTATTCATACGGAATGGTAGAGTAGGCAAATTCAAGGCGGAGGGCGGGGGGTGGGTGGTTGGAAATCTCAGTTTACCTAGATTTAATCAATAAATATTTTCTTTTAAAAAATTTACATATATGTATATAATAAAACTAACTTCGATCGATAATTTAGTTCACTTGGTAGTTGGTAAAAGAGAGTAGTCTACCAAAAGTTGCCCGTTTTAGGATATATATAAATATATATATAATAATTGGGAAAAAATCGATATTGTTGAACACACCTCAAAAACAATTTCATGACAACAGATGTTGAATAATAAAAATCTGATTGGTGGATAGTATGGCCTATCACATTATTTGTTTAATGATTATGAATAGTCCTCATATAGACTACATTCTTACGAAATAGATGAATTTTATGTCCTGGAAAAGAGTAGGGGACTAGGCTGTCATTAGAATTCGAGCAGACAGAATCTGTGTTGGGTTTGGTTTGGGGTTAGGGTTAAGGTAGAACATTCAAATTTCAGTTAATGGAACCTAGGTTCGAGTTCCGCTGTGTTTACTTCCGGCCTAGGCAACTAGGTAGTAATAGTATTGTTAGGCATCATACAATATAAGTGTGACTTTGTAGTTTTCTATAGTTGATTTGTAAGGATTAGTTTTGTTTTTACGAGTTGATCACGGATTGATATCAGACAGAGAATCATTGAAAACCAGCACTGGAGTACTGGACAGCCAGCTGTTTGATCCCTCTAGTTTGGGAATCATCAGCAGTACGCACCCACCGTGTGCTGGGGTTCAAACCCAGGACCTTCCGGTCACAAGGCAAACTCGTATACCATTACTCAGCCACTAGGACCCAATCTAATGGTCAGTGCATGAATTCGTGATTTAGCGGGACCCTAACCAATGTCGTCGGGGGAAAATCCATCCTCACACTTAACTGGATGGACCTCACTTGTCACGACTTCTCACTAGAACTCCAGCAAACTCCATCCTGTAACAAGTCACTAGCGAGCATCAGATTAATTTTCAATAGTTGGTTTGTAAGGATTAGTTTTGTTTTCACCGGTAGGTCCTGGGTTCGAAACCTGGCAGTGGGTGTGAACTGCCGATGATCCCCAAAACTAGGATGAAACTCCCTGGTTTTCAGTGGTTCCCTCTGTCGTAAAACTTTGTAGTTTTTTACGTGAAAACCAGTGTCCCGGGTAACTGAGGTCTGTCTGAGTACTTTATTTGTAATATTCACTCACACTAAAGCCTTTTCCATCTTTGAGTTCAGAACGAGACCTTCAAGATTGAGTTTTGAAGATTTAATGGCGATGGCACTGCCTTTCTTTTTAAGAAATGTGGTTTTTAGACTCAAACCAAAACGTTTTACTCTATTAGGCTCATTACCGGAGACTAAGAAGGTCCGTCGGTTGGGAATGGAACTCGAACCACTTTTGATGTGGCTGGAGATACACATGACATTAAATTAGTAGTCACAAAGCACACTGACTTTTGACGAGTGTGAGTGATTCAGGTGTACTGCAGCTAGTCTGGGTTTAACTTCCATCCAAAGAAGACTAAAGCTCTCTCTGTGGGTCCTTATACTCCAGCTAGTTCAGGTTGACTGGAAAGAAATCAAGGTTGTACTTGTACAGAAACCATCTTCTGGAGCAGGTATAAAGTTTAGACCGGTCGCTATAACATCTCTTTTTTTGAAAACTATGGAGAAACTTCTTTTGAATACTCTTAAACCTTCTTCAAAAGCTTTTAGTGACCCTAAGCAGTTTGCTTATAAGTGTGGAAGAAGTACATTAGATGCAACCATTGTACTACACCACAATATTGTTTCCTGCCTTGATAAGGGTGCTAAGTTCGTTCGAACAGCTTTTTTAGACTATACTGCAGCTTTCGACTCTGTTCCTAGGACACTTTTATTAGGAAAGATGATTTCAGCACAGACAGAGACCTGGGCAACTAGATGGCTGTCTTCTTATTTTAAGGATAGGAAACAGCATACTGTTTTGGCTGAAAAGCGCTCCATTTCTCAGCTAACTGAAAGTGGTGTGCCTCAAGGAGCAGTACTTTCTCCATTTCTTTTCTCTTTCTTTTTGCATGACCTTCCGAACTCACCCAATGTTAATTTCATTAAGTATGCTGATGATCTGACCATTTCTGTCCCTGTAGTTTCCACATCGGATTGTTTCCATATGAATGGCTTCTTAGCTGAAGTTAAGGATTGGTCTAGCTTAAATGGTCTTAAACTAAATCCAACTAAATGTAATACTGTTGATTTCAGCTTGAGAAGTGAAAAAGACATGCATGGACTGATCCAATCTCATGATTGTTGTAATATGGATGATACCATGATAGAGAGTAAGTCAAGTGTTTCTTATCTTGGCATTAGTTTCTCTTCAAACCTTTGCTGGTCGTCTCATATTCTTATAGCTTCTAAGAAAGTTTTCCGTCTGACTTATTACATAAAGAAGTTGAGGCACTCAGGTATAACCCAATCTCTTCTCATACAATTTATTAATTCATGTGTTTTGCCCATTATTCTTTATTGTTCTCCATTATTCTTCCCTGGGCTACTCAAAAAGGACCATATAATACTACGAAGAACATTGAGGGCTGTAAGTAGGGTCAGTGCTATCCCTTTGACTCAACTAACCGACACTGTTGTTAATAGGCATATGAATTCTTGTAAACACTTAGCTAAAGTTATTTTGTCTGATAGTGAACTTCCTCTTTATTCACATTTGTTTCCTTGTATCTCTTCGGGTAAGACCAGAAGAAATTTCATAAACATTTATGCTCGTACTACAAAATATAAAAATTCGACCGTACCATATTTGGCACGAGTATTGTGTGAAGAGACGAATATCAGAAAAGAGCTTTTACAACTTCTAAATCATTAACTAAACTAAAAAATGTAATGATGCATATTATTGCATGTGTGATTTGTTATATTATTTATTTATTATTCACTATGACCTAGAAATGGTGTATTTTGTTGGGGTTTTTATTTTTCCTATTAACTATTAATATTTTCAAAATTTTATACATTTATATAATTATAAAAAGAGCTAAACCAATGCAATATGTAAAATGAAACGCTGAAAATTCCATGCTGTAAATTGTTATTGTTGTGGAATAAAGTGATTATTATTATATTATTATTATTATTCATCGAATAATTTGCCTTATGTGCTTATCGAATTAAAAGTTATCCACAATTCGTAATTCTACCATCGAATAGCAGTGACAGGAAGTGTCTATGGTGCGTGTAATTCCTTCTAAAAGAACTACACAATTTGATAGGTCACAGTGTGGTGGTGGCTGTCTGCAAGACAAAAATTGCAGACAACAATTTACGTCAATATTGATGTCCCGAATCAGGGTCATGAGAAAAAAACAATAACAAAGCTTAACCCTGAGGAACTCAACAACCAATCACATGAGACTTAGCATGTGAAAATACGATTCGTAGATATGTGGCTCAACTTTCTAAGAAACGATCACAAGCAGTACAGAATAACCTACTGTCGTTACAACAGTAGTAACAAAAGCAGTAGTGAGAACCTCTCAATAAAACAAAGAAGGGTTACTTACAAAGCGTTGTATTGTTTGTGGTTTAGATTCATCACGCAGGATAAAACGTCCTTCTTGATTTTCAGCTGTCCAATCTAACTGAACTAGAAGAGGTGCTTCATCAGCTCCAAGACGACGCTCTGAAGAGGTGAGGCAAGAAAAAATAAATGTAAAAGACATCAGGATATAATGTTTTTATCAATAAAACCATCCATATAGCGAAAATATTCATTCAGACATCTATAAAACACAAAATAATTGAGCAAAGAATATCCTTTTCGATAAATTCCTCCTCTTCTCGCTCTACAATTATATATGCATGTTTATATACATAGAATATTCTAGATTAGTAGTCAATAACAATATTCGTGTTTTTTAAATAATATCGCTTTGTAAAGTGAGATCACAATGGAATTACAGTTCATTAAAGATGCATAAATTATAATAATAATAAAGATATAATAACAACTAGAATATCAATTAAAATTAGAAAAATTCCACAAAAATTGAGGATCATTCAAACTTAGATTGACAGCCAAGGTAAGGACAATGTCTGAACCAATATCTTCTTTTGAATACATACATAAGTTAGGCTTCTTAATGCGGATTCCAACATCGAGACCCAGTAATATGTAGTAGACGAACTCTTAAAGTGAAATTAAGATTTGTTGATATGCGGTAAATGACTTTGAAAGCTGATTCGTTAAGATCATCAACCTTGTGTTCTGTATCCACAAGATGAGATAGAATAGCGCTATGTGAATAGATTTCGTTTGTCCTTTACTTAACCAACCACTATGCAGGGTGATGCTCGGAAATTCGACGAGAAACACGCCT